AAAATTTTTACCCCGCGCAAATATTTTTTCCTTTCCCCCCCTTCAGGACTTTTTCGTCTCAAGGGCCCCCCCCCCCCCCTGCGTACGCCACTGCCCACGCCACGATTTTCTTTCCAAAAACTGTTGACCTATGAACCGACGAAAGAATGTTTTCATCTGATTAATCATTATCTCACTGTCAACTAACGGAATATAGGCTGTCATAGAACATATCAGATTGCTTTGGAAACAGTGACCGTTCTGTATTAAAATTGTTTGATTCTATCAATAGAAAAACAAATCAACATTTGAATGTGAAAGTCTTCAAAATGATATTATTTTAATTAAAATTCTTTTTTTGAAAACGAGAACAGATTATTCCCTCGACTAAAGGGAGGATCATATAATATAATATGAGTTTGTGTTTGCTTTCACGCATATACATATATTTTTGAGTGCTTTGAAAAGCTATACGAAATGTTGTTTTTTTTCTCAAGCTGACAATTCAGCCGATGAGTTGTTTTTGCTACTCAGGTCTTGACCAATCAGATGATTCTGCTGTCGAGATTTTGTCCAATCAAATCTTTTCAGGTTCGAAATTCAGTCAATCAGATATGAGATATGGATGAGTAGATATAAGTCTGATTAATTGAACAAAAGCACACACCGACGCACATTAGCATCCACACACACACCTACACCATTTGTAAAATAATAAATTATTTCAGAAACAGTTGAATATTCAATCAAGAGGATAGTTTAGTTTCGACTAGTCTTCTATGAGAAAGCGAATTAAAAACGCTTTTCTTAGTGAGTTCAACCCAATCCATTCGGATCTTCAAATCAACATTTTTGTATTTCTATATATATAGAAATTTTCCAAATCTTTGCCCTTAGATCATGATTGTAACTAAAAGATATCAAGAGTTTTGTGCACTTTCATATTTACAATATAGTTCGAAATTTAATCATTAGTATTTCTTTTTAAGAATTACAATAAAAATCGTATTCATTCAGCACGTGGTGCCAAAGATATTGAAATTACTCTTGATGGTTTTATGATATTCAAAGGTGAAATAAGCCAAGCTTGTGGTAATATAACAGCTACAAATGATCCATCAGCCTATGGAGAAGTTTGTATTTTATTGATTATTAATTATATTAAAATAAATAAATAATTTCTTTTAAGACTATTTTATTTACAACTGATGATGAAATTCTTGAAAAAATATCAACTTATGATGATATGTATGTTGATCAAGAAACTGCTCAAAATGATGAAGAAAATACACGAACAAATTCAAATCGACCACCAACTGCTGAAACAAATGTAAATTTAATTCAATTATATAATTTATTTTTTTAAATATAATTGATTAATATAAAATAGATTCGACCAATGACACGTGCTATGTTACGAAGACCATTTACAGCTATTCGTGCATCAAATGCAAGTGAAGTACCAGAATTTCGTGGAAAAAGTATGTTACTAAAAGAATTCAATATCAATTCTTTTGGTTTTATTTTTTTTTTAGAATTAATTTTGACTATAACAGAAACATGGGGTGATCAACATTATTGTGGTTTAACAGGTATTGAAGTTGTTGATATAAATGATGTTGAATGTGTCGTACAATCATATGATGCACGTCCACGTGATATAACTGTTCTACCAAAAAATGCTAATGATGTTCGAACACTTGATAAGTAATAATAATAATACAAAAGAATTTCGTTTTTTGTTTTTGAAATTATTTTCTTAAAAAATAATTTTAGATTATTCGATGGTGAAAATATTACTTGTAATGATTATCATATGTGGTTATGTCCATTTATTAAAAAAGAAAAAATACGTCTTACGATATCATTAAAGGGATCGAAAAGTTTACATGGTTTACGTATATGGAATTATAATAAATCATTAGATGATACTTATCGAGGAGTAAATTTAATAAATAGTTTTTTTTTTTTAAATAAAAAAAACAAAACTATTCTTTGTTTATTTGAGTTTAGGTTAAACGACTGCATGTACAATTAAATGAGAAAATTATTTCACCAAGACAAGGTTTTCTATTAAGACGTGCACCTGGCCATTGTTTTTTTGATTTTGCACAAGAAATTGTTTTTGCTCATGCGAAAACAATGCATGAAAATCCAGAAAATCAAACACAAAAAAAGTATTAAGACTTTTTCCTATCTCAAATTCAAACAGTAATTTGAATAGTCAATAAAGTTCTTTATGAAATGTATTCTATATGAAAATTTCATAGATGAACTATAAGAAGACAGTTTCTGAGATATCAAAAATATAGTGGTTTTCAGTAAAACAAAATTTTCAACAAAATGAGAGATTACCGCATTTGATAGTACCTCGCCTTATAAAGAGATACCGATTATACAACATGAAAACAAAAAACAATTAATTGAAAAATTGCTCAAAACTCGAATTTTTTTTGTGTTGCCTATTACTTTTGAAGGGAAGGTTATGGAAAACGTGATGACCTCTCATTTCGTTCAGAATTTTTCGCTCTTTAAGATGGTAATGTTAACAACTAATTGCCACACAGATTTTTGAAACTTGAAAAACCATCATGATTGGTTTTTCAGAAACCTTCTTATAATCCATCTATGAATTTTTGGTATAGAATGCATTTGATAGAGAAATTTATTAGGTATTCAAATCACTATTTTCATGTAAATTAAAAGCTCCATATCACAGAAAAAAAAAATCGAAAATACGTTTTTTTTTTTATTATGTTTTTCACCAGTGTTGTATTTATCACTTTTAGACAACCATTGGCTACTAATCGTGACATTGACTCAGATATATCAATGCCAAATGGATGTAAGTTAAATGAAGTTCTTTTTTCATATATCACAATAGATTTGTCTTACAAAATAAAATGATTTTGATGTATTTTACAACTTATTTTCATAGGTGGCAAAGGTTCTTAGGAGAGATGCAGAATCCACCGTAGAAGAGGAAATAACTCAAAGAATTTCTATAGAGTTATTAGTTTCGAACAAACATTTATAGAAAATAATTTTCAGAAAAAATTTCTTCGAACATGTGTTCGTGCATCCAGGAAGATTCAGGACCCCTGGTTCCTAGAATGAAATAGATAGAAAAGAAATCATTAGAAATATATTACGATGAATGCCTAACTCATGTGTACTTTTGTAATATACATTCTATGAGATCGCATCATTTTAATTATGATGTAGCCAAAAATAGGTTCTAGTCAATGATTCACATAGCTGCGTAACTCAAGTCAAGAAAAGAAATTTCTTTTAATTATGGAGGACAGATAAGGTTACAAGATAAAACTTCAGAAAAAATGAAGTATCATGATAAGTTTTGTAATGTTTCACTAAATTTCTTCTTTAGAGATTCCTAAATTGTACTCAGGTTTCTATATTTTTCTTTTTATGTTAGCATAACGTTATCCATTATTTGCTTTCAATGTTTATATGCTGCATACATTTATGCTCTTAATGTATCAGTATATATTTCTATCAACTTGAGTTATAGGATATAATGATCATATTTGTATGTTTGCCTTGAACTGCTGCTCGCAATCAAAGTCTTCGAGACTTTCAACATGTCTAAATACACGCAGAAGTTTTCGAAAGGCATTTGTTATACGAGACCTATTAATATGTCTTGATTGTGGATGTTATCGAAGAGAAGAGTTACATATAATTTCATGATATTATGAACAGAAGAAATATGAATTTTGTTAATCTGTGATGATGTTTAAATGTCTGTTTCCATGACAAAATAACAGTTACATGGTACATAGTGACTATGAGTATCTGACATCAGGAGAAACATTGTTTTTTACACACAGACGGAACCTAACTAAAGCTAATTTAATAGAGTCTGCGAAGCTTTGCTCGAAAAAACTGATATTTTCTAGATAAACTAGAACCTTCTAACAAGGGTATCCTCTATTTCAGAGAGTGGTTTATCATAACATTATATCCTGAATTTTTCGAGATTATAATTGACTTACCAAATTCTGATCGTTGGCATGGAGGGATAGCTCTTTCTACTCTCCGTCTAACTACGCCATCACATACTAGACTTACCTAGTCTGGTATTCAAGACAAAATAATAGTAGTGGAATTTTTCTGATTAGGTCAAAAACTGTCTGAAATTTTTACTGATCACACAGAATAGTTGCTCTTTTCTTGTAGTCGTCTATGAATGTGCGTGTTTATCAAAACAGATTAATTCATACTATAATGTAAACATATTTTAAGCTTTTAAAAATAAGGAAAGAAGAAATCGAATTATTATTAGATAGATAATGTTTATTTAAATATTCATAGTTATTTATGAATTTCAACTTCATTCAACTCATGGTGATGCTTATTATATTGGATTAAATGGTTTAGAATTTTATGATGAACATGGTGAACAGATTGGTTTAACTGAAACAAGTATAAAACATCTATTAAACCTTTGAAAACAAAAATTTATTTCGTTTTAATAGATATTGCTGCTTATCCCCATAGTGTAAATAGCCTTAATCCGGGTGCAGATGATGATGTTCGTACACCGGATAAATTAATTGATGGTGAAAATGATGAAACTGATGGTGCACATTGTTGGATTGCACCTATTTTAGCTAATGTTGTATGTATATTGATTTAGAAAATTGTTTTAAATATTTAAAAACAAAAAAAAATTTTTTTTTTTTCTATTTAAGATAAATCGTATATTTGTTGTTTTTGATCGACCAACATCTGTATCTATGATAAAAATATGGAATTATGCTAAAACTCCTAATCGTGGTGTTAGAGAATTTTCTGTATGTATGAATATTTTTTTTTTTTTATGATAAACATTGAAAAAATAAATATTATTATTTATTTGATTAGTTACTTGTTGATGATTTACTTGTATGGACAGGTATATTAGATAAAATGGATGAAAATGATAATGAAAATTATGAAACACAAGTGCCGTATAATACAATTCTATTTTCCGATGAAAGAATTCTTACTGAACATGAAAAACAAACTGTTTTGGAGTAAATATAAATAGTTTGTAATCTTTGATTATTAATCTTACTTCACTTTATTTCTTAGAAATAAAGGCTCAGCAGATAATATTTCCAGTCAAACATCAAGCAGAGACCAATCCGTTGATTATAGTAAGTACTATCAGAGATCATGATGAGTCATCTCTGACGAAGAAAGGTCCACAAGTGTAAATCTCCGTTTTCCAATATAGGCTATCTCTTTGAGAGGAGTCCGGTTGATCTTAACTTCAAA